AAGGCAGACGCCTAACGACTGAGCCACCAGGCGCCCCTCCAAACGAGTTTCTTAAAGTGTAAGAACCATGAAGACAAAGAAAGGTCTTTTTGAGGCCAAAGGGCCCCCCACTTTTACAAGCAAAAAGTTGCAATTTTAACTCACACATAAAGGACAGGTGGGCAGAAGCCTTTAGAACCCCAGTTCTCCCCTAGGGGGTGATTTTGGCCCCAGGAGACATTTGACGTCTGGAGACATTAGTAGGTGCCACAGCTTGGGGGAGCGTGCTGCTATGGGCATTTGGAGGGCGCAGACCAAGCATGCTGCTCAATATCCTACACTGCACAAGACGGCCCCCACAGCAAAGACTGCCAATAGCGTGGAGGCTAAGAAGCCCCAGTGTTGCTCACAAAGGCGTGGGCTGGGGTCTCTTACCACTTCCTGTCCACAGACTCCACAGCACCACGTCTGGCCTGCAGCAAGCCCTCAGTAAAAATGTCCTCTAGCTTAAAATCCTCCTATGGCTTCCCTCGGCATTAGAAATCATCCAGTCTTCCCAGCTGCCCACGTGGCCCTTATGGTCTGCCCCTGCTGGCCATCCCCCTTCCACTCCGCTGTCCCCTCCAACACTTGGCCCCAGGCGCACTGGCCTTCACATCTGGTGCTCCCTTTTCAGGGATGCTCTTCCCATGGCTAGCTCCATCTCCCAGTCAGCTTAAGAGTCACCTCCTTGGGGAAGTAAGTCCCCACTCCCAGGCCCCTGAGCTCAAGTGGCAACCCCCACCCCTTCCACCATCTCCCTATAGCACACATGATCGTCGACAACGGTCTTTTTAAAGAGGTGTTCTCAAGTTCCTCATCTGTCTTCCTTCCACCAGAATGCAACCCCCCGGGAAGCAGAGATGATCATTTCTGCACAGCGTCTCCGGCATCTTGGACAATGTACGGCACACAGGAGGCTCCCGAACACAGAGGGAACGAACAGATAAGCAAACTTCTAGTGTTGGCAAAGACACAAAGAAATGGGCCCTCTCACACACAGGTGAAGAAATGGGAGTCTCTCACCTTTCCAGAAAGTGAGCTGGAAATATACGGACCCCATAACCCAGAACCCTGTCTGAGACTCTGCCCATAGCAATAAAAGCTCTGCGCAAAAGGTTGTAACATAGAAAAAGACGTTTATCGTAACACAATTCCTAGAGGCAAAAGGCCAACCAACCAACCAACAAAAAGTCCTGGAAACAGTAAGTACCCATCAGTAAGAGAGAGGCCGTATTATGAAGGATCAGGTCATCTCTACAAAGGAGGAGTTAGTTCTGCATCTACTCACATCTGTAATGTCACTAAGTGAGAAACACAAGTTAGACGAGAGTTTTATACCTAACTTTAACCTCTCTGCGTAAAGACAAATCAGCACACGGTGGGGCGTGTTTCCGTGCAGCATTTCTGAGCCTGGGGAAGGCCATGGAATGATGGGACACCAGGTGGTGCCTTGAGGGGACAAAGTGGGAATGAGAAGGAGGCGTTATTCGTTGTCTTCCTTCGTATTCTTTTGTTTCCCTGGATGCAATAATTTCTATTACTGTCATAATGTTTGAAAAAAGATTTAACTTTTTAAATGTTACTCGTTCTGGACTGGCGGCCTCTGACTCCTAGCCCTGCACTGTGAGGTCAGCAACACTGGCTCCTCTGGCTGGACGTGGACAGAACCAGAGCCAGCTCACCCACGAGGCACGGTGAGCCGAGGACCCCTAATATCAAAAAAGGTGAATGTAATCCAACCCAGATTATATGTGTCCTTACAGCAGTGGAATCACAAACTGTAATTTAAAAAAAATTTTTTTTTTAAAAGGAGCCCATGAACTCACAGTGGCCCTGTAAAGTGACACATACACAGGGCTGGTGGCTGTTGAACACAGCGTGGCCCGAGATCTGTGCTGCTGCAAAACCAGTGGCTCCCTCCTTCCTCCTCTTCCTCTGAGCTTTCTGGTATTTCCTTCCTTCCATTGTTTCTAGCGGAGAATCCCAAGGGGGAAGATCCTGGAACTTGGTCTCAGATGAGTTGAAAGGAAAAAAGAATTTCCCATTTGTCTGGTAGCTAAGCGTGGGGGCTCTGGAGCCCGGATGCCTGGGTATAGAGCTGGGTGACTTAGTCTCTGTGCTCAGCTTCCTCATCCGTAAAATGGGGGTGATGAGGGCTTCCCTCCTCAGAGTTCCTGGAAGGCCTCTAAACGAGGCAATCCCAGCAAAGTGCCCAGAACAGCACTCTGAGTGCCCAATACACAGTCCCTGAGCAAATAAACCCCCGGTCAGGACGGGGTAGGGGTCAGGACTCCCCTTAAGAAGGCCCTGTGAGAGGAGGCGGGAAAAGGAGCACCCCCCCAGCCCCAAATGCTGTCACCCACACACTTCCTGGCCCTCAGGCTCCCAGGCCCTCCAGGGCCTTCTACGGGCCAGGCAAGTCTGGGAGGGCCTGGGAGGAGCTGGGGACTCTGGGGGCCCCAGGCCAGGCCCACCTGTCCAGCCAAACCCGGTCCTCCACACATGCTTTTGGGAGGGGCACACCCAGACGCACTCACACCCACCCAGCAGGGGCCAAAGACAGACACAGGTGGGCACGCCGACAGGGGTGGGCCTCAGAGAGACACGCCTCACCCCCAGAGACACAGACCCAGAGGCCAGGAGCGGACGCAGGTGCGGCCGGGCGGCACCGTCGGGGACACGCGCGCACACACGTGGACAGGCCAGGACCGGACGCAGGTGCGCACCCAGACACACCGCACAGGCAGGCGCGCAGGGGCCGCCCCGACTCACTCTGACTTACACACGGGCACGATGGCAGGGCCGGCGCACACGCGGTCAGGGACACCGATCCGCCTCCTCTCCCACCGGAGCCCCCTCTCCACAGCCCTCCAGCCCTCCCCTGCCCCTCCCCGCCCGC